TTGGTATCATTTTCAATACTATTAACCTTACTCCATTTTGAAACTTCCTCTATTGAAGGCATCTCAGGAAGATAACAAAATGTCGCTGTTTTCAGTGCTTTTACTTTTGTAGCTTTTCTATTGGTTTTATTGATCATAAATTCTTTGATTAAATAGCTAATTGGAATTCCACCATCTTCAACTTTTGGCAAATAATCAACATGTTTCGCTTGAAGTACAAACTTTTTGCCTGCAAATATAAACGGTTTGGGAGGTAAATCTCCTCTATCAGAATAAAATGGATCGTCATATTCAATTTTGGGTATTTTGAAGTCTTTTTCCAATGAATTTAGGAAATTTTCTTCCATGGAAATATTGGCACATGTCAAGGAAGGTAATTCATAACCAGTCTGAAACTCAAACCATTTGGCACTTTCAGAGTTCTTAGGTAACTTCAAACCTGATTCAACCAAAATCGATGTTTCATCAGCTTTATCCGTAAATCTATCACTATTGCCAGTTATATCTGATTCCTGTAAAGAGAAATTTTTAAAGATATTATTTTCGGGCAAAGCTATTTCTGAATCATTATGAATGCTTTGATCTAAAGGATCAGAAGATAGAGAGATTCTTGAGCTGGATTTCAAGATATTTGACAGCATCTTCGTACTTTTCTCATTTTGACCAAAAAAATTCTTTTCAATTTCCTCAAAAGTAGAATCTCCCAATCGAGTCGATGTGTTATTTCCATTTCCGTCTTTATCAACCTTATTATCTTTATCGTCTTTATCATCATCATATTCGTCTACCTCTTCATCGTCCAAGAATATTTGCGATTTATGAGGTGGCACCGTCCCCATCCAATTATCATCATCTCCGTAGTCTAAATTTTCATCGGTTTCTTCCTCTTCTTCACCAGATGAAATAAAATCGTTGTTATTATCAAGAATTGAAACTTTCATCAGTGACTTCAGGCTACTATCGCTATTACTTTTATCGCTATCGCCATTAGTATGATTATCAGAAATCACCGAGCTGTTTATATGGAGTATGTCATCGTCGTTGCTATTAACTTGATTAATAAATTTGAAGTCATCCCATATAATATTGTCATACAATTCGTTTTCAATACATTGAAATGCAGTTGGTATATTATCAAAGATTTTGGGATTCCTATGAAATCCTTCTAATTTGACATCGTTTTGAACATTTTTCAGCGCATTTAATCTTTCCCATTCTTCTTTGGATAAATCTATGCAATGTTTGAGTAAATCCTCCAATTCATCTTGCTCTATCCAATTTGTGTGTCCATCATAAATCCTTTCTTCAGAATCTTGGGTTAAAGAAAACTTATTCAAATAAACTTGTGAATCATCTAGATTCTTCAATTTCCGTTGATGTAAAATATCTTTCAAAATATCTTTAGTCGAATTTAAATATTTAGTTTTATCAATTCGAAACTTGCTATTGCTATTATTTAAATTATTAAATAACTCGATAAAGTCTTGATGCAAATCCCTAGTTGTTATTTTTTTCCTATTTGAAATCCACTGGGGCAAACAGTCAATTTCCAAAAAAGTATTACCAATTCTTGAAAATTGATCTTCTGATAAAATGTTTAAATTATCATCAAACTTGTTTTTCTTAATATTATTTTTCAAGAAAGCTTTTAAATCGTCTGTGAGCTTAAGTTTGTTAAACAACTCAGTTTCTTCTTGATCAATAATCAATCGATCATCATCAATATCTAAATTATTACTGTTGTTATTTATTATTGGGCTCCTCCATAACCATTCATCTAAATAAAGCCAATCACAACCAAATAAATTATAATCAGTTAAAAATTGTAATAAATAAGGAACATGAGACTCATATGGTTGAATAACTTTATCATTCACTTTTCCCTCTGATAACAAATTGGATAATCTTCTCAAGTACAATGGATTCAATAAATTTATCTTAATAAATGGTCTATATCCAATATGATACCCATAAAAAGGTATCGATTTTATCAACTGTAAAGATGCAATGTACCTGTCTCTATAACTTGAAACGTCATCACCTTCTTCATTTGTATAGTCGTTGAAAATTTGATCATCAAACTCTTCTATATCTCCATGATCGTCATCAATAGGTCTATTGTTCTTTCCCGGTTTCTTTCTTCCTTTCTTAAAAGAAAAATATAAAGCTTTCTCTAATTGTAATTTTAAATCAGTTAATGTCTGTTTGATACAAGATTCTGATAATTCTCCCTTATACTCAATAAAGAAATAAGGAAGAACATTATGAACGTTTAAAAGAATCGAGTGACCTGTAGTTAACTTTCCAAATACTCTTATAACTGGAACTTGATTGAAAGATGATTTGGTTTGATAGTGATGCTTCTTCAAGGTGGAGATGCTTGAACTCGTTCTATCCAACAACGAAGGATAGAATTGGTATGAGTCGTATCCTAAGATCTGTAGTTTGAATGAATCATTATTTCCAGATAAAGTGCTTGCATCCATCTACAAACCAGAACCTGGATCGTTATTAATAAAAATAAAACTCAAGTCGATTTGATTTATTATATTTTGAATCAATTTTTATTTTTGCTCATCGCTCTAATTTTTGAGGCCCTTTTAAGAAAAATTATACAAAAATTTTTCACCTTTAAATTGATAAGAAATTGAAATTATATTCAAGATTACAAGACAATATCAGGTTATAGATTAATTCTTATTGACTCATGTTGAAATGTATAGCTCGTCAGAGGGCTTTTAGCACTGGTGTGGTATTGAGTGGTAGAGTCAAGGGTCTTTTGAGGCAAAATCTTAATAGTGATCAATTTACAAATGAAAAGGTAATATTCAACTCAAAACAGTTGAAGCTGAAACAGAGGCGTAAGGAATTATACTTGAGGGAGAAGAAACTAAAACCTTTTACTAAATCTACAGCTAATGAGATTTTGAAGAAGAAATTAAATATTGCTATAGATGAAAAAATTGGACCCACGGTGAAATTGGAAGATGAACAATTAAAAGAAATTTTCAAGACTTCGAACAAAAGATTAATTTATTCGGTATTAGGTACAAGTGGTGAGCAACTTAAGGATTCTGAAATTGTTGAAAAAGATGTGTTGAAATTTTTGAGTAGAAATGATTTAAATAAGGCCATATATTTATCAAGACTAGCAGGTACGCATGGCATTGTAGCAATGAATAGAATATTAAACTACTTGTTAGTTGAACAACAAGATGCGAATGGTGCTATCTCATTATTTAATTTTAGGAAGAAATGGGGGGTTCCTCCGAATGAACATACTTTCACCATACTTTTTGATGGATTATCCAAAATTTCAAAGCCTTTAAACGAGAAAATATTGATCAAAATTTTGAATATCTTTAATGGTACAAAAGAAAAGAATCCTGAGCTTATTTCGATTATTCATGTTAATTCATTACTTTCAGCTTTGACAAATTCATCTGATTTGACTCATGCTTTCAAATTCTTTCAAGAATTACCGACGGAGGGGAAATTGAAACTGGAAAATAAAACTTTTACCATTTTGTTTAAAGGGTTATCACAAGCTGAGTTAGATGATGATCTATGTATTGAACGAGCAAATTTATTTTGGAAAGCTTTAACAGAAAAATTGACATATAAAGCTATTGATTCAAAGTTAATTCAAAGTTATGCTTCAGTTTTTTTGACAAGATCAAATTTAAAATACATTTCATATTCATTAACAATTTTAAATAACTGGTTTGAAATCTGTGATGAAGATAAGAGAAGTCAAGTTTTCAGATATTCAGAATCGCATAAATTCAAATACAACTCTCATTCTAAAACCATTGAGTTATTGAGCATTGAAGAAATTAACCCCTTTAAGACTAGATTTGAATTGAATAAAGCAGCTCTAGATTTGTATTTACAAGGGTTGAACAAATTAGGATTATATAAAGAAGCCGTTCATGTTTACCAAACTTATGTTAGCAAGATTAGAGATACTGCTGACATTGAATTGTTTAATAATTTTTTGAAAAATTATACCAAGAGCTCAAAAGTTAAAAAAGAACTTATCAATAAAGATGTAGAAATTAACCCAATAACCTTTATTTACAATCAACTTAGTGATTTGAATTTAAAACCAAATGGTTTTACAAATTACATAATTTTCAATTTCTTGGATGATCAAATTTTACAAAATATGAATGAGATGAATCAAGATAAAGCTTTACAATTTTTAAAATTACTACGAGAAATTGATAAATTTAGAGTCTCCAATTTTACAAGAAATAATTTGATTGATAGTTTTAAATTATGCTCAAGGTTAGCAGATTATTTAACTAAAGAGAATTTAGTTGATATCTTAAGAAAAGATTATTTTGAAAATTATGAATTAACGAATTTAATGCCATTATTAACAAACCATCAAGAGATTAAACATTCCTCAATTGATATAAAGAAGATAAAGACAATTGAAATCAAGGCACTTTCTTTACTCAAGAAAATTAATTCAATTTTAGACCAGGAACTTTCTCAATTGAAAAAAGGAGATGTTACTAGTTTCCAGAAAACTACTTTAGAATTCAACTCCATAAATAGGGTTAAAAATTCAATTAATGAAAATTTGAAATACATTGATAATTATATTCTTGAAAATAATAAAAATTTTCAAGATAGGTCGGACCCAGAATTCAAGAAATTAAAAGAAATAGAATTGGAGAAAAAACTGAGTATAAGAAGTTACAAGATACTAGTTTTAAAAGATGAAAATGAAAAGAAACAGAAAAAGAAAAAGTCTTAAAAATCAAGACCTTAATTTAACATTGTACATAGTTTTATAACTTCATTCATAAATGAACCATATATAATCAAGATCGAATTGTTAATAATAATAGTAATAAAATGTCTATAGAATTTTTTACCTGCTTCTTATTAACTGGCCCGCCAACTTGCCGCCCACATACTTACCGAGAGCCTACTCACCGCCAAACGCCCGCCTACATTGCTTCAGAAAAAAAAAAAGTAAATTTTCACTCCGAAGCCGGGAATTGAACCCGGATTATCGCGATGAGAACGCGAGGTGATAGCCATTACACTACTTCGGATTGTATTATAAAAGTTAAAGCAAACTTTTCAGTTTTTTTAATATCTGGGGAAAAAATTTTGAAAAAAGGCTAGAATTGTGGAGGTGAATCTAATATATAAGTAATTAATATCATTTCCGACAATTTATTTATTGGTTAATTGGTAGGTAAGTTCAAAATAATAATAATAATTATTATTATTATTATGATTGCCATTGAGATTGTGAGTCTTAATTTGATTGTAAGTTGAACGAAAAAGTAATACAATTAGTTAATGTAGTGTAATGTAATGTTAAATTTTAATTGGTCCTAATTCTATCTACAATTGTAATTTAATTAATCATATAAACTGCAAATAATATTATACTATAAAAATAATTCAATGAATCAAGTGAGATCAAATGGACAAAAACTAAAAAAAAAATTAAGTGTTTTAATAAAGAAATAAAAAAAAGAAAAGATAAAAAAAAAAAAAAAAAGGTCAATTAGTACCAATTGATTAAGGAATAATGGAGTTCGTATGAATAGTTTAACTTTTGAGTTAAAAATGGAACTGAGATTCTCAATTACATGTTACCAAATATTAACAGATAAAATTAAAGTAAAAAAGAAAAAAAAAAAAAAAAACTTCCAATCTATTTGTTGAGGTCATCAATTTTCTTTTCCAAATCATTCAAATGCTCTTTTTGTTTCTTTAATTGTTCTTTTAAAGAAGCTAATACTTCAGCCTCATGTTTCTTAACATAGTAATCTTCGTTGGTTTTTTCACGTTTCTTAAAAAACAAAAGTTAGTAATAATCCAAGATGAAATAAAAAATCATATATATATATATATATATAAATTGAATTGATTTCAAATTTTTTTTTATAAAATTTAAATCCACTTACAGTAAAAGCATCAGATTTACCATCTGGACGTGGAGCTCCAGTAGAACCTTCATTGGAATAAGCTCTAACAGCAAAAGATGGGTTTAACTTTGAAATTGAGGCAACAGCACGACGAGCAATCATTTTCGATAATAGATACTTGATTATCTTGTAATTTAATTCAATATAATTTGTTTTTAAATTAATAAAAACTATTTGGTTTTAGTATAAAAATAAGATGATCCTGAATGGCTTCCAATATTCTTTTTTAATAAAGCCAAAATAAAAATTGGTCTGAAAATAAACGACTTTTTTTTCAAAGTGATTGGCTATGGCTCTCTAAGAGTACTCTCAAATATTAAGGTATATTTATCTATTTATCGATTTATCGATTTATCGATCTATTGGAATATTTGTCGTTGACTTAAGTGATTAGAAGTTTGAAGTTGAGTAGGATGTCGGCTTCGTCTATTGTTAAGAGACAAAAAGTTTTAAATGGTGTTGATGAAAGTCTAGTAAGCCCATATGGTGCTAATGTTAATGGTGGTAGTGGTAGTGGTAGTGGAACATTGATGGATAATGCTATAGTATTGGAAGGTCATACTGGATCGGTATTAACAGGTTCATTCAGTAGTACTGATGGAAGATATATTGCCACGGGTGGTTTGGATAAGACAATAAATTTGTGGAATTTACCTATGGAAGGAAATTCATCATTACCTCCTAACTATCTTGCAATTTCAGGACATAAAAGTGCAATAACTTGTTTAAAATGGTCTATAGATGATAGTAATTTAATAACTTCAAGTGCAGATACTACGTTAGGTTATTGGGATTCTATCACTGGGAAAAGAGTAAGAAAATGTTCAGGGCATGATTTATGTGTGAACCAAGTTGCCTTTGTTGATGGGGTTAATGTATGTGTAAGCTCTGGAGATGATGGGTATTTATTATTATGGGATTTTAGAACTAAAGATTATGTGGGAGAATTTAAAAGTGAATATCCTTTGTTAACTTGTATAACAAACAATGCTAAAGATACAGTATATTGCTCGGGTATTGATCCTACTATATATGCCATTGATTTGAAAAAATTTCCATCAGAGTTATGGGTTGAACAAACAACTCATAAAGATTATATCTCATCTCTATGTGTTTCAAAAGATGATTCAATATTGATTTCAAGATCAAATGATAATACTTTGAGAGCATTTGATTGTAAAAAATTTGTTCCTCAAGGTTTGAAAAGATTTAAACCTTCTTTCATATATGATGGTTCCATATCAGGAAATGAAAATTTATTAATAGGTTGTAAGATTTCTCCTAATGGTTTAAATTTAATTGCTGGAGGTGCAGATAAGACACTTACAGTTTGGGAATTACAATCTAAAAAATTAATTAGCAAATTAAGTGGGCATAATGGGAGTGTTATAGATGTGGATTATCACCCAACTGTACCTGTAGTATTATCAACATCAACAGATGGTACTTGCATTGTCAGAGAATTGTAATATATCATTTTATGTATTTATAGAATTTAATAATAATAATCATTTACATTATTTTTTTTTTTTTTTTCATGTTTATATAAACCTAACTTTTTTCTTGGAAAGTCTTTGATTTCTTAATTCTTTTGCATAACGAATCCTTTCTTGCCTATTGATCTCAGCCAATTTACCTTCTTTCCCCTCCTCGATTTTATGGATTATAATATGATCACTATATGCAGTTTCACTATCAATAATTCCAAATCCATTTTTAATTTTTGAACTATTTTCATTAATTTTCTCTAAACTACCTTCATTGAATAATGGAACATCCCATAATCTCATTTTGGTTTTCATGTCGATTGTACCAACAGGCTCTAATAATGTTGCAGGATCTTCTTGAATGTTATCATTGCTACCAATCTTAGGTTCTTTGCAAATTGAAGGGCATTTGAATGGACTATATTCTAATTCATTTTCTTCGTCAAGATTAAGGAAAATATGTCTTGTGATAAATTCTTGCATACCAGAATCATCAATTAACGTATTTGCTTCTACTTGATTTTCTTTTCCTTTATAGTCTTGTGCTTCTCTTCCAATATCTAAATTATCAATGTATGTCTCTTTGGAATTCAACCTTTTCCTATACATTTCTTCTTCAATGGTACCATTAAGAATTAACGTTTCAACATAAACCTCATTGGTTTGGCCAATTCTATGTGCTCTCTTTATCGCTTGTGCTTCAATTGCCCTTTTCCATACTGGATTAATAAAGTATACTCTTGTTGCCGAAATTATTGTTAGTCCATGAGAAGCTAATTTCAAATCCATTATTAAACTTACTCCTCCTTGGTCATAAGTATCAAATTTCGACAAATTTTCTGACCTTTGTCTTGACTTAATAAAAGTAGCATACATTATATAGTTTACACCTATAATATCTAACAATTCTGTTAAATAATATGCTGAATCTTCAAATTCAAAAAAAACTATTGATTTAATATTATCATGTTGGTGTTCAAGTAATCTTGAAGCTAAATATGATAATTTAGAAGATGCAGTTCCTAAAATCTTTGCTTTTCTTATATTGGAACTCAACAGAAAATTGCAGCTATTGTTTTCTATACTTTCAGAAATCGTGTTTATGCAACCATCATCTCTTCTTGATAATAATTGCATCGATGAGTTAGAATTATTCAAACTTATTTTTTTCGTTGTGTTACTTTTCAAAGTAGTTGACTTTCTCTTTCTCGGAGAAGTTAAAGGAACAATTTCCTGTACTAACGTCTCTTCTTCCTGATCTATTTTCAGTTCTTCCTCCCTCCTATGTTTCTTTTTTTTGGTCCATCTGGATGGTTCTTGAATAGCCTCCTTAACTGTCTCTGCGTCAATTGGCTGGCCATCATGATTTTTAATACGCTGTATATTCTTCTTTTCTGTATCCTTCCAGTAATTGGTCCAAAAAGGTTTTGAAAAATCCTCCAATCTCTCAGTCAATCTGTTTAAATCTCTAAGAAATCTATTTTTGAAAAAAAACTTTTGTGCCGCTAATAATTGTGGAGCGCCATAAACACTTATATTCTCACTCTCTTCTAAAATGCCAATTGATAGAGATCTGATGAACGGAGTTGGCAAAGGGGATATAAAATAGTTCATCTCATGAATTGCAGAAACTGTTCTCCATCTTGAATTCGATAATGCGGTTTTAGCCAGCTTAATGCAATTCGACAAAAGTTTTAAGTCGCTATCACTGTAGTAATTACGACCATTTGCATATTTCTTCTTTTTCGCCAGTTGACAAATCTGTACCAATACTTCAATATCATTAATGGTAAAACCTGTCCAATAAAAAGTAGCTCTTTGCAAATTGGTGATCAATCGCCTCAACTCAGACCTATTCGACGGGTGAAACATATAATCCTGGTCAACTCTTTCCGACGTTACTGCATTAGCAGCCAAAACACTCATGAATAAATTCACTGATATCTTATCATGGAAAGATGGTTTCAAAAATACCGCCTTGTGGTGTAATGCTGGCAATTCAACATCATTTTCAATATCTGAAAGTGAATGTCGTACTAACAATGAAGATAAAATTTTCGTTAATAATAAATCTGATCCAAATATCCTACTTAAAAAAGGTGCTGCTACCGTTTTTGTCCATAATTTAGTATCACTTGACCAAGGATCTATTTTAAAAAAATTGGAGATTAATAATCCTAACCTCGATAAATCTTCTCTCGCATCAAATTTTCTCTTAACTATATAGTCGTTATTCTTAGCTTTATTTTCACCATTTATTGAACTATTATCACTATTATCTTCTTTTTCTAATTCTTCGTTCATATGTAATCTTGTCAATCCTGCAGTTGGAGTCCCACTAATTGCCCATTTTCTTTCGACAAACAATTCCTTCGCCATATAAACGGATCTCGAATTTTTGCTATTCATACTATGACCTTCATCAATAATGAAACGTTTCCAGTAAATTTTTTTCAAACTGGAATCACGTAATTCAGACTGCTTACCAAAAGCCGAATTTGACATCAATACTACATCGTACTTGAGTAATTCTTCTGGTTTCGGCACTGGAGAGTTGTAAGAAGGAACTTTGAAAATATTTAAAAAGCCGCTATTCATATGTTTAGATATTTCTTGTAACCATTG